TAATCTATTATATGATTTGACATCACAATTATAGACAATATCAATAATTTTTTCTTTTTTAAATTATTATTATTACATTAACCTTGATTAATACACACGATTGGATCATATTTGCTTTAAGTATTTTTTTTCTTTTAAATATATTGGAAACACTGGCTAAATATAATTATTTATACTAAAAAAATCTTGGCGTCTAGTTAGAGAATAAGTTTTATTATGCACAGTACCGGCTCCCGTTAATTCCTGCGTACTCTCCGATGAGAACGTTTTAGAAATTCATCTTATATATTTTAATATCATTACAAAGACCTTCATATGAAAATGTAGCGAATGTAACTCCCTTTTTGTAACTAAAATATTTTTATCTTTTTATTTTCAATTGATTCTCATTTATGTTGCAAAAATTTCACCAACTACTAAAAAAATTGAAAACGAAACGATATGCGTTAAATATTATAAATATTTTAAAAAATCTTAAAAAAATCTAATTACATTTGTAAAGTTTAAAAATATTCAAATAAAAATTCAAAAGGTTTTCTCTAATTAGTTGTTTTTGTAACAGTGATAAAATGCATTATTTATATAATGTGTTTTGGACAGTCGACACTTGAATTATTTTTTTCCTTTGTAAATTGGAATTGTCAACTATAAGAATATTGCAACATATATGTTAAAGTATATGTAATAATCTTTATATACTTATAAAAGTGATGAAAATTAATCCGGGATACTCATCACATACAGGTATACGTATCAAGGGTTAATTAATATTTTTAAAAAAATTTTTATCAAGTCAAAACAAATTAACATACATAGAAGAGAAATTACATAAAAGAAATTTGAATACATCTATTTTTTATTTATATCTTTACATAACAATTACATTAAAAATTAACATAGTTTTTCAATTTTTTTCCTAATTTTTTCCAATTTTTATTCTTTTTATCCAATTTTTATTCTTTTTCTTTGATCTTATAGGCGATTAAAAAAGAAGAGATCACATACGTATTTAGTATGGATAGTTCTTTTCTTAACATAATAAAATTTAATTTAATTTTTAATTTAATTTTTTTTAATTCAAAATACTTTTGCTTATTAAAATGAGAAAATCATGTAGCATTTATATTTGGAAATCAAATCCGTGTAATGAAGAAAAAATAAGAAATACTTTTCAATTTTTTACTAATCAAAGTCGTATAGCGAATCTCAATAGATTTTACTTTCACATAAGTAAACATACTCTCACACTCATACACACACGCACACAGATACATAAACATAAAAAGATATTCCATAAAAATATATTAGCGTTTATCGTCTAAATACTCGAATTTTACTTTTATAGAATGTACATTTTAACGCTGTCCCGTGAAGTTAAGAGAATTTGTTTGTAAAAATGTGTTGTAATAAATGCCTTAATTTCTACTCATTATAACATAATGAGATTAATTGCTAGCAAGTATTTAAACATAAACATTTTCAAAAATCTTACACATTCGCTTTTTCAATGTTTTCTCAAATTCGAGAGAAAATAGCTTGAGTGTACTTATTTTTTTTCATAA